CAATTTCACCCTTCCCATTCCTTTCTTATACTCATTTTAACCTTTAACTTTAACAAAATTACAAAATTATCAACACCAAATAAAAAAATCAATGCCTATAGCTTGCTCCTCTCATCAAACCTTCTTTATTGTTTGGACCGGCTGGTTCACCGGTTCAACCGGTTGAACCGGTCAAACCGGGAACCGGACCTGAAAACGGTTCAATGACCGGTCCGGTTTTGAAAACATTGCTTTCTACAAATTAAAAAAAAAACAATTTAAAAAAAATTATCAAACATACGTATATCTATAATTATTATGTGATTATACGAAAAAACTTCAAACCGCAATCCAAAAGCAACCTTAAATTTTTTTTTTCCCGCCGTTTTGGCCCTTAGAATGGGCTGAACGAAAAAACAACCGCGGGGTTGGTCAGAGAGACCGGTTCTTTTTTCTTTTTTTTTTTTTTCATTTTTTAGCTCTAATGGAAGCTTGTTGCTGTCTCTGTTCTCTTCTCTAAGAGAATGGAACATAGGACACCCCATTGTTCATGCTCTAATATGACAACAATTAATTAGACCTAGCCTATTGGATTAAATGGAAAATTCAATATCAAAGATGAACTTCCACAAAATGTAGTTATAACTTATCATAATGCAGATGCTGGAAGAATCTCAAAGCACATGTTTTTTCCTCTTTTTTTTTTTTTTTTTTAACAGTAATGTCAAGGAGAATATTGAAAAGGTCGATAATTTTGGGTCTATAGATTTTGATTCCCTATGTGAATTCCTAAATATTGTAATCCTACCAAATTCAGGATTCCAAGTCGGAGAAATATGATTATGCTGGACGTCCAAGAGCTCATCTTTCTATGTATTGGTGTAAGAAAGCTGCTTTACAAATGCATCAATATCAATTAGCCGGGCTAGCTCGGTTGGTTAGAGTGTGTGGCTGTCAATTAGTGTTTTCTATGTTTGTTGGCCAAAAAAGGCAAATGCATCAATTTCTTTTTCATATGTTTTTCCTTAATATATGTCTATTTTCTGCACTGTCATTTATCAGCATTCATCAAATAAAAGAATGGGGAAGAAAAGGAATGGCTAAGAGAGGAAGGGAAAAGGAATATCAATAGGTAATAGTTGAAATGACACATGTCAAATAGAGGAAAGGGATGGATTGGAGCCGAAGGGGTAGGAAATAAGGAATATAGAAACAGTAGCTAACTGTTGAAATAATACATTTCAAAGAGGGGTGGCAAAGCTTTCTGCCTCTGTTTAAGATTTTTTTGATATTAGATGACGGAATCAAGTTCCATGTGCATGAGAATGGCTGTAAAACAGCGAGTACCTGTTCCACATGTCGAATGGACCTCTTTCTTTCACTTCGACATTATTTGATAGGACCAAGTTTGGCTCTTTCCCATTTAAACTCCTATCAAGATGCTTTGGCTCTCCAATCCTGCATTGCAAAAACAAACAAGGTATATAGGGGTCAGGTTAGCAGAATTTAGAAATGATGTCCCTTCTTTGAGTCGATGATTATGTACAACTTATGAAATGATGGTTATTCATTTATTCTAGGGGTAATATATAGACTCATGGATAATTGGTCATGCCTTGTAGCTTTGGTAAGATTCGAACTAACCTGGCTTTGCCAGCCTGCTAAACTCATACGTAGCAGCAGTCAAATGACAAAAGTACGTGTAATACAACCCATCCATTGCTGTCCCCACAAAGCACAAGTTTTCACCAAGCATTAGCCTAGTGATATTCCAAATCCCATCCCCATCAATCAAAACCATGATCGATATTAGTTCAGCTGTCAAAAAACATAGGTGTCTCTGGTTTTCGGCTCAAGCTCCGGCTAACCTTACATGGTCGGTCAATCTCACTAGTACCCGTTTAGCCTACCTTTTAAATAGTTTCTTTAGCATACAAGCTGAAGTTACCAGCTCCAAGCAGAATTTTAAGAAGTTGACGGTGCATAACTTTTAGTATTTTACTATTAGGCATCTGTATTCATTGAAATTGATCAAATCCTAGTCAAATGAAACTCCTACAAAAGTTCTTAGGCTGAACGCCAAATGTTGGTTTTGTAGATTTCTCAATACGCCTAGCCCCAATTCCTGTTAACTTCTTTTCTTGATAAGCTCAGCTTGTTTACACCTATCTAGCTAGTCTGCAATGTTCTATTAGGACATATGTGAAGCTTAAATACCAGTCATAGATTGTTAGAACTCTAGAACATGAAAGAAATGCACGAAATGGAAAGTGTGAAGGCTCCAGCCGATCAGGGGGATCCAAGAGACACTTACAAGATTGCTTACATAATCTATTTCTTGCTTGGTGCTGGCAATTTGCTTCCATGGAATGCTTTTATCACGGCTGTTGATTACTTCAGCTATCTCTATCCAACGAAGCATGTAGAGAAGGTTTTCTCTGTAGCTTACATGAGCTCTTCTGTGCTAGTTCTAGTTGTTATGATGAGCCTGGGTTGCAGGAATCTAACTTACAGATGTAGAATGAACATGGGATTTTCTATGTTCATTCTTTCTCTAATGGTTGCTCCAGTCATAGACTGGGCATGGCATAGGGACGAGTCAAAAGGGAGCGAGAATGCACCCTATTCAGTGACAGTTGCAGCCGTCTTGATATGTGGATTAGCTGATGGCCTTATAGGAGGAAGCTTGATAGGTTCAGCAGGAAAGCTTCCAAAGCAGTATATGCAGGCTATTTTTGCTGGAACCGCCTCCTCAGGTACTATATAACTCTTAAATTATCATTTTCCTACCATAATTTAATTTCCTGCTTCTTTTCTAGTTACCAAATCTGAATAACAAGCAAAATAAGTGTTGAAATTTGAAACTTGGAAGGGAACCCATTTTTCTTTATTTTGTAAAGAAACATGATAACTGCAAGTGAAAGTTCTTAAATTTTAAGTGTTAGAGAAGACTGCAAATAAACAACTGCTTTCTTCTTGTAATCATAGAAGGGAAAAAAAAAAAAGCAAAAAAAGCTTTTACTACCATTTGATTGTATTTTAGAAATAGTGGATAGTATTAGGTACTAATTTTCCTGTTTGGAGAAACTCAAAAGCAGATGCTCAGAGGTTTCAAGTTACAACCGTAATTCCAGGAATATATGATTCTCTTTGCTATTTTGCTCTTAAGTATCTGTCTAATAATAATATGGTGCTAATTCCTTTTCCTCTATTCTTCCAATCACCTTGGATAAATTTTTAGCAAAATTTTACTTTGCTTTCTAATTTGAATTGTGAAGATTATACAAATATGCCTTCTGATGTCCAATACTGTAATAATTAATGAATTTGTGTGACACGATTCTCGAGTCTGAAATATAGAGATTAGTAGGATGATTATATGTGGATCAAATCGCCAACTAAGTAGATAGCTTCAGTTTAATCTTTTAGGAACCATGTGAATTTAAGTCCAAAGGGTAAAGAGTTGTGATGATTCTTGACTTGTGTCGTGACAATTAACTGCTCCTGACCATAATCTGGTAACAGGTTTGCTCGTTTCTATCTTGAGAATCATAACCAAAGCGTCAGTCCCACAAACTCCTCGGGGCCTTAGAACAAGCTCCCACTTCTATTTCATTGTCAGCACCACCATCCTGCTGTGCTGCACCCTTTGTAGCAACCTGCTATACAAACTACCAGTTATGCAGCAGCACAACAGACTTCTCTCAGTTGACCCACTCTGCTGCAGGCCAAAGTTCTGGACTGTGGCAAGAAAGATCTGCTGGCCAGCTTTTGGGGTTCTAATGATTTACCTTGTCACTCTATCCATTTTCCCTGGATTCATAGCTGAGAGTCTGCAGTCCAAGCTCCTTCATGATTGGTATCCGGTTCTGCTGATCACCACATACAATCTTGCAGATTTTGTTGGAAAGTCTGGAACAGCAGTTTATGTTCTTAATAGCATTAAGAAAGCTACATGGGCTTGTATTGCTAGGCTGTTGTTTTACCCTCTCTTCAGTGCTTGTCTCCATGGACCAAAGTGGCTAAAGAGCGAAGTGCCAGTAGCAGTTCTAACATTTATGCTTGGATTAAGCAATGGGTATCTAACGAGTGTGATCATGATCCTTGCCCCAAAGTCAGTGCCTGAACTAGAAGCAGAACTGGCGGCAGTTGTACTTGCCGTGTTCCTGGGAATGGGTTTGGTCTGTGGTTCAATTCTTGGCTGGTTTTGGCTCATTTGACCCCTTTAAGCTTCCATGACTTGCTGATCTTGGAGGTTGCTTATTATTCAGTTCTGTAGGCATAAATCCGCTTCCCAAGTTGTCTCCACCGGCAAATTCCGTCATCATGGCCCATGCAGCAGAACGTTTGCTTTGTCAAGTTTTCAGAGACAACTTGTTTAGGCAAAAATCTGAAACTAAGCTAGTTGTTGAATAATTTCCATTCGTGCTGTATTGTTTTAAACTTTTTATCTCTTTCAGCTGAGCAAAGGCAGTAGAATTTGACTTTAAAACATTGCGATTGTGCAGATCGATTCTGTTAATAATTAAAATATCAGATCCATATTTAACTTCGATGCTAAAATACCAGTGATCAATATGAGAAAACTCCAAAAGAGTAAAGTATGGAGGCAAGTTTTGGGTACTGAAACAATAAAAATCATAATCAAGGAATCCAGTTCCAGCACAAGCCACAAAGCATGCTGTTGGTAGCAAAAACATGAGGATTTTGCATGCTATTTCTTGTAAGTTCATCACTTCTGGACAAATAAAAAGAAGATTTAACCAAACAGAAACAGAGAGGGATTACAATGAAGAATTCATTCCGTGTTTACTCTATTTCACGTGACACGGATACAAAAATGAAAAGAGCAGCAAGGCTCTCAAAATTTGTAAAGTTCACCTCAATCAACAGGGAAGGATAGCGATATACGTTTTGAGAATGGCTTCTGAGAGTGCTCTCCCCCCTGACCCCCCCCTCTCGGCTGAAGAAAGCGATTCCTTGGTGAGAAGCACCAAGAGAATTAAGGACGACCCTCCCCCCACCCCAATCTCGATTGATGATCCCCCTAACCCGGTGGTTGCTCCGCTTGTCCAGAAAACCTTTAGAGACACTCTAATCGATGGTAGCGCTGAAATAACCCCTTCCATCGTAACCCTTGAGGAACTCATGGCTGCAGAGAGCAAGGCTAATAAACCGTTTCCAATGGCGGCTGATGAAGGATTGAGTATTCCTAAAAAACCTATTCCTAAAGCTTTTATTCCAAAGGAATTATGGCAGAAGCTTTGTGTTCCATGGAGAAATTCTCTTATTATCAAGCTATTAGGGAAGCGAATCAACTATCAATTGTTGCGCTCTAGATTGTCACGTGAATGGCGGACAGAAGAAGAATTTGATGTGATTGATGTTGGTCAAGGCTACTATGTGGTTAAGTTTTCCATTCCAGAAGATTGTTCTAAAGTTCTTACGGGAGGGCCTTATAAATTTTTCGACCACTACTTGGTTGTTCAACCCTGGGAGCCTAATTTTCAACCATCTCGGGCTAAGCTTCCTAAAACGGCCGTCTGGGTTCACCTTTATGGGGTCCCTATGGAATGCTTCCATGAAGCTGCAGTCCTATATCTAGGAAACAAAATTGGCAGAGCCATTAAGGCTGATCGAACAACTCTTCTTGCCACTAGAGGCAAATTTGCACGTGTTTGTGTGGAGGTCGATTTGAATGAATCATTGCCGTCGATGATAGATTTGGACTTAGAGGACCTTCCTCAGTCGTTAATTCTTGTTAAATATGAAGGGCTCCACAAGATCTGCTTTGAATGTGGTGAGTTTGGCCACAAGAAGGAAGCTTGTCATTACCGGCAACCACAGCCATCGCCGCCATTGCTATCTCAGGCGAAGGAGGGAGCTTCCACCCAACAAAACCCTACTGCAAAATCCTCGGCCAATTACAATGCTATCCCGGATCTGGCGGGTAACTGCATGGAGTACGGTTCTTGGATGGTGGTTAAGCGTAAGCCACGGAAGACAACTCCGAACCAAAGACCCCTTATTGATCATATTTCTCCGTCTATTAAGGGATCTGATAATGATAAGCCTGGCAATGTTTCTAAATCTACTGAGCAACCTGGGCCGGTTATTCAGGAGGAAAGCGTAAACACCAGTAACAGATTTGGAGTCATTGCAATTGAGGAGAATTCCTCGGTAGAGGTCCCTGGGCTTAAGGAGTTGGCATCAGAAATCTCTCCTACACAAAAGGAAAATATGTCCGTTCATTTAACTATGGAAATAGCATCCTCTTCGCGAGAAGAAACTCCTACTGCTGCTCTCAGGCCTGTTAATGAAAGGGTTGTAAGTCCTAAGCCTCATTCCAAATCAGGCCGTAGGAAGGAGAAGGCTAAGAAGGTATTGGGCCCGGTTGTGAAAGCCCCCAAACCAACTGGCGCTAAGACCATGGGCTCTACTATGCTAAAAAAATCTATTAGTGAAATGCCAAATCAGTTGGTGCATGTGAAGAATGACTCCGCTATGCCACAAACTCAGCTGCCACTGCCTCTTATGGATCCAACTCTACAATTTGCAGCTGCAAATGGTTCCATGACTCCAATTAACTTGGGTTTAGCTCCCACTTCCTCACTAAATGGAGAATCATCTAAACATGGTCTGGGAAACATAACGGTGTTGAACTCGAATACCAAACATTCAGTGGGTGAGAGTCATCGAATTGTCTCTGCTAATGCTGGTGTCGAATCTAAAGGCCTTGTGCCTGTTACTTCTCCTCCTAACACTCTTTCTCAATGAAGGTAATCTCATGGAATTGTCGAGGGGTTAATAATAGCCATTTTAGGAGGGAAGTGAAAGAATTACTCTACACTCACAGACCAGATATTATCTGTTTTATGGAAACTAAAGCAGCATTTGGGTCTACAGCTTTGAGCTTCATGCGTCGTCATGGTTATGCTTGTCAATTTCAAGTTCCCGCTTCGGGCTTTGCGGGTGGATTATGGTTCTGTTGGAAAGCATCAGTGCAACTTTCTGTTATTTTCTCTACTATTCAGGCTATTCACTGTTCCGTTCTGTTTCGAAATGAGAATCTTTTCTTGACATTTGGCTATGTCCGGCCAAATGAGTCATATAAGGAAGCTTTTTGGAGAAACCTGCAAGATTGGAAGGAAGGGCGCTCTGGTGCATGGGTCCTTATGGGGGATCTGAATGATGTAGCTTCTATTGATGAGGTCTCTCCTCACTCCACAGCTATTTTTAATCGAGCTCAACGTTTTCGAAATCGGTTAGACTCTTGTGGATTGATGGATATGGAGGCAATGGGTTGTAAATTCACCTGGTGCAGAACTAGAGGGGGCCGAGTTCTTTTACGTGAACGGTTAGATCGTGTTCTCCTTAATTCTGATGCGCAACTCTTGTTACAAGGTGCAAAGTCTTTTAATCTACCACGAACCTACAGTGATCATCACCCAATTCTTCTTTCTATGGATACTGCAGCATCCCATTCCCCTATCAATAAACCTGTTCGTTTTGAGGCTGCTTGGTTGTCAAGATCTGAGTTTAGCGCTGTCTTTACTCAAGCATGGTCCAAGCATCCTAATCAGCTAGCTGCAGCTATTGGTTCTGTGGGCAAGGCTTGTTTGTCATGGGGTCG